TATACCACACAATGCCATCAGTAACCAAGAAACAATGAGAATGCACAGGTGTGGGGTACCCTCCTATACCACACAATGCCGTCAGTAACCAAGAAACAATGAGAACGCACAGTTGTGGGTTACCCAGGTTCTCCTATACCACATAATGCAGTCAGTAACCAAGAAACAATGAGAACGCACAGGTGTGGGGTACCCTCCTATACCACACAATGCCGTCAGTAACCAAGAAACAATGAGCACACACAGGTGTGGGGTACCCTCCTATACCACACAATGCAGTCAGTAACCAAGAAACAATGAGCACACACAGGTGTGGGGTACCCAGGTTCTCCTATACCACACAATGCCGTCAGTAACCAAGAAACAATGAGAACGCACAGGTGTGGGGTACCCTCCTATACCACACAATGCCGTCAGTAACCAAGAAACAATGAGCACGCACAGGTGTGGGGTACCCTCCTATACCACACAATGCAGTCACAATGCCGTCAATAACCAAGAAACAATGAGCACACACAGGTGTGGGGTACCCAGGTTCTCCTATACCACATAATGCAGTCAGTAACCAAGAAACAATGAGAACGCACAGGTGTGGGGTACCCTCCTATACCACATAATGCAGTCAGTAACCAAGAAACAATGAGAACGCACAGGTGTGGGGTACCCTCCTATACCACATAATGCAGTCAGTAACCAAGAAACAATGAGAACGCACAGGTGTGGGGTACCCTCCTATACCACACAATGCAGTCAGTAACCAAGAAACAATGAGAACGCACAGGTGTGGGGTACCCAGGTTCTCCTATACCACACAATGCCGTCAGTAACCAAGAAACAATGAGCACACACAGGTGTGGGGTACCCTCCTATACCACACAATGCAGTCAGTAACCAAGAAACAATGAGAATGCACAGGTGTGGGGTACCCAGGTTCTCCTATACCACACAATGCCGTCAGTAACCAAGAAACAATAAGCACACACAGGTGTGGGGTACCTAGGTGAAGAATACAAAAAAGCAAAAATGTAAATATTGGTCATGTAGCACAATTTTTTTCTGTTTTTTATAAGAAATTGTGCTCTATAAGTAAATGTAAGCATATCCAGTGCTTTTATCAATAGTAATAGTTTTTTTAATTGGGGGACCAGTTGGAAATGAACTACAACAGCAGCAATGGAGTGTAACTTCATACTCCTGTTTTTACACAAGCAGAATTCTTATGGGCCAAAGAGTGCAATGCTTAAATAAGATTCTATTTAGACAAAAAGATGTGTTTTAAAGGGGGCACTGGTAATAGCAATAAAGCAATGGCGGAGCATATGTCATTAAACAGCTAAATAAGTCAAACATCAGCTGAGGTTAGAGGAACAAACAGAGGTGAATACATCGTCATTGCCAAGTTGGCAGACTCTAATCTGTCTGAGAAGCATGGCTGCTCTGTGTATTTGCTATATTAATCCACAGATAAATAGATAGTTTGACATGAACTTTCCAGGGATAGGAAATTAGCACCTATGTTTCTAACAGAAGGATAGCAATGGGTAACTCCAGGTATTGTGACAATGCCATGTTATACCTCCTAACATATGAGATGGACAAAGAGGGACAATTACATTTTAGAGGTGTAAGAGGGGTATGGCTAGGGGCGGGCTGTTACGATAATTTTTGGTAACTAAAGGAGCGAAGGGGAATGTGTCTTGTGCATGATGTCTCATATGTTTACGATGGTCTCATGATTACATTAAATTAATTAAAATCATTTCTATAACTGGTCATTGTCATCCCCATGGAAATCAGTAGAAGTTTCATGAGGATTCAACTTATTGTTTTAGTGTTTAGAAACATTTCGAACTTTGCTCACATGTTCTAAATTATCTGCATTTTTGTTTTTAATCGTCACACTGTTTGGAAAAGCTCCAAATGTTCCAACAGAGACCAAAAAACTTTTGATGATGAGCTTAGATCACAGTCATCGTTTGTGTAGGTGTGAAAAACATACACTGAGTCTCCATCCGATAGGATGTTACCGAAATTTGTTACAATCCGGAAGGACACTGCAAGGTGCTCCTTTATGTGATAAAACCAGATACAAATGAACTATTTATCTGAAACGTTGCATCAAAACATACACATGATTCCCCAAACCATTTACTCTTTCGATTTCATTGATGGACTTTAAAGGACCACTATAGTGCCAGGAAAACCATACTCGGTTTCCTGGCACTATAGTGCCCTGAGGGTGCCCCCTCCCGCTGGGCTGAATGGAGAGGAAGGGGTTAAACTTACCTCTTTCTCCATCGCCGGGCAGGGAGCTCTCCTCCTCTTCGGCTGAATGCGCATGCCCGGCAAGAGCTGCGCGCGCATTCAGCCAGTCTCATAGGAAAGCATTTACAATGCTTTCCTATGGACGCTGGCGTTTTCTCACTGTGAAAATCACAGTGAGAAGCACGCAAGCGCCTCTAGCGGCTGTCAAGAGATTAACCCTTCTCTGAAACTGCTATGTTTATAGAAAAAAGGGTTAACCCTAGCTGGACCTGGCACAAAGACCACTTCATTAAGCTGAAGTGGTCTGGGTGCCTATAGTGGTCCTTTAAGCAAGTCCACTGACTAAGTAGGCATGCCATTCATGTATTGACCAAGGCTCCAGCTGTATCTGAAACATTCTATTTATTTGAATTGTGAATCTTACTCACTTAATAAAAATGTGCTTACTTTTTACACTTTGTTACATATTATCTTTCCACGTAAAATACCTATAATCAATCATTATTCTAGACATTTGCCATAGAAACTCATGTCAATATACTACACAAACCTAGACAGGGTTGGAGAACAAGAATGAAATCCAGTTAACTACACGACTACATCTTATATGGAGGATACAATTGGATGGGAGCTAAAGCAAAATATATGTGACACAGGGAAGCGCATGGATATATAAGGTAGCAACCTAAAGGGACACTATAAACCACCAAAACAAAACAACTTTAGCTTAATGGAGTGGTTTTGATGCAAAGATCATGCCTCTGCAGTCTAACTGCTCAGTTCTCATATAGAATATTTAGGAGTTAAATAACTTTGCTTATACAGCCCTAGTCATACCTCCCCTCTGTTAGAGCCTCCTGTGTGTGCATAAAGTGCAATTAACAGATCAGGATATAAAGTCTAAAATAGACATACTGTGTTGTCACATCTAAATGAAAACATTTTTTTTCATGCACTCTGTGAGTACAAAACAGAAACAAAAGTGATTTAAACTTCTAAATGGCAGATATTTGAGCAGTAAGACTGCTAGAGCATGATCTATACACTTAAACGGCTTCATTAAATAAAGTTGTTTTGGTGACTATAGTGTCCCTTAAAAGACTAACATAGGAAAACTAAATTCAAACAGCTATATTTTACACATTATGAGTTTTAAGAAATTGTATAAAAAAATTGTATATATGAAGTGGTAAAAGAATGTTCACATATTATGGTTCAGCCCACCATTGCACATAAGGACCCCAGTTTCAGCAGGTGTAGGTATTCCTTCTATTTATCCACAATCATCTTATTTAATGGACAGTACAGTGAGACACTCAGGAATACAAACTGCTGCCAGAGATGCGTCTGTCGGGAGTTACGTCAAACACCGCAGGAGGGAATACTCTACCACAGTGAGTGAGCGAGACAATGACACGGGACTCTGGCTTGTGTAAAATAAGGTCAATACATTCTCATTCAAGATCAGAGAGGATCTGGAATATCTATGGGAACTAACTAGGCATCAAATGGCGGATGGATTCACCAGACAAATACAGGATCTTCTAAGGAGGACTAAGATTGTAACGATGGAATGGAGGCAGTAATAGCAATCAAACTGTTCACCTATCACTGTATCTATTCAAACTATAGCGTATTATCACAGTGTTTATTAGACTCCATTTATACTATGCAGGATAATGTCAAAAAGGAATGGTTTACATAGAGTGCAGAAAGATCAAAAATGGGAGACGGGAGCTGGACTGGGGAGAGGTAAGTAACAGGAAGGGAAACTAGCAGAGAGGAGTTCATCGGAACAGGGAGGGAGTGCGTTCTGTGTCAGATATTTGATCTGTTCCTGCCCTCCCCCCATTACCAGTCACACAAGGGTGGGGGATCCCAAGTAAGAGAAGGGGGGGGGGAGTGAGTAGTGCAGAGATCATTATTATACAAAAGAGAGCCATTCTCCCTTCCTTAACAAAACATATTAATCACTCAAATACATATTCTATCTCGCCACCAATTAATACAGCCATACATATTTCTAATAGTATGCAATAAAACTGGAGAGATTTGGAGCGTACAATACTTAGAATTGTCAGTATTTTTAACTCTTTGTAGGAGCATTATAGTTAAGAGCATAATAAAAACAAATAAAAATATAACACACAACAGCAGCTCACATATAGTAAGAGCTCATATGAAACCCCATAAAAGCATTCATCACCATATACTATATTAACCTTTTAAGTTTGGGCCTGCTTGCAATATTCCCACTTACTACAACCGTGTGTGAATAAATGATTATTGTTAAGGTTACACAATTTCTTTTTTTTATTATTGCTATTTAAAAAGATATTCGAGGCACTCATGAAATGTGCAGTTTGTTGAATAAATATTCAATACACATTTTTCAGATACTCAGATATGAACAACACATGTAAAGCCAAAATGTGCATGACCCAGACCACTGGGAGTGGATTTTCCATTGTCTGTAAGGGGACACAATGGACATTTCTATACCCCTACCAGCACATTTGTTTGTGTTAACTGAAATTTTAATGAGTTAACTTATACTTGCCCAAAGAGAATCTCTGGAGGTCAGTACGAAATCTTACTCTTTAATTTCTCTGGATTTTTATACTTGAGTTACTTAAATTTGGACCCCTGGCCTTTCACCCATCCATGCATCCATCTAATACCTGTTCACTTACTATACTAATGTATAATCACACACAAGCAAACATGGATTTTATTTACAACACTCCAAAATATTCTGCAGTGCATTTCTCAAGGCGACTGGTAACTTTGCTTACATTAGAGGTTTTCTCAAAGAGGCTGAGAATAACAACAGGAAATAAAAAGTGAGAAGATATGGAGATAACTTGGTAGAGAAGGCCACAGAAGAGAAGACTGACCAACAAAAATTGAAATCGGAAAAGGGTACGACTGACCACGGAAGAGAGAAGGTGACAGACAGTAGGAATGACTGCGGTAGAAATGACCACAGAAGAGACAAGGTGACAGACAATCGAAATGACTACGGTAGAGAAAAGGTGACAGACGGTAAGAATGACCATGGTAAAGAGAAGGTGATAGAGGTGCAATATACATTATGTTACAGAAAGCACGAGGTTTAAGACTGACCTGTCTTCTCTTTAATCTCACATAGGACACTGAAGAGAGCCGGTTTCATCCTGTGGCAGTTTAAGGCATGTTTCCTATAGAGAGAAAATGGACGTATTCAGTGGATATACTCAGCATTATCATCATCACATAGTTCCAGTGCACAGATACTCTATATTGTCATTACAGTGATTATCAAAGCACACATACTCTGTATAGCGATTCTGTGCATAGATCCTCCACATTAAATTATTAGTGCATACCTACTCTGTATAAAAGAACAGAATTATTGAGGTTCTAACACATAGAGGGATATCCAGTGCTTAAGTGCTCTGTCTAACATTACATTAATAGGAAACAGATACTCTGTATAGGGATATTCAGTGCATAGCTACTCTGTATAACAGCACAGTATTTTATTACATAGCTACTCTGTATAACAGCACATTATTATTACATAGCTACTCTGTATAACAGCACATTATTATTACATAGCGACTCTGTATAGGGATATTCAGTGCATAGCTACTCTGTATAACAGCACAGTATTTTATTACATAGCTACTCTGTATAACAGCACATTATTATTACATAGCTACTCTGTATAAACACAATATTATTACATAGCTATTCTGTATAATAGTACATTGTTATTACATAGCTACTCTGTAAAACAGCACAGTATTATTACATAGCTACTCTGTATAATAGTACATTGTTATTACATAGCTACTCTGTAAAACAGCACAGTATTATTACATAGCTACTCTGTAAAACAGCACATTATTATTACATAGCTACTCTGTCTAGGGATTATGAGTGCATGGTAGTTAGATACTCTAGACCACGGGTAGGCAACCTACGGCACTAGTGCCATGCACGGCACTCGAGGTGTCTTTGCACGGCTCTCAAGGCTGCTAGAGCCAAACAGGCTCTGGCCTATCAGGAGTCCCAGTGATATCTGCTTAGACGAAAAGGTAGTGAAGGGCAATCCTTAATTTATGCATTGCAGCACGTAGAGGAAGTGATTTCAGATCATTTCCTCCCAGCACTTGTGAATGGGACTCCACACTGAAGTAGAGCAGCCCGCAGCTGATGTTACAGTTCCTGTCCTTGACCTGTTCCTGACCATCCTGGTCCACACTGCACTCCAGGGAAGCCACCCACACTGCTAGATATACACAGAAATGCAGAATAACCCTCCCCTCCTACAAATAAAGGAACAGCCCACACACAAACCCCACACCACTAACAATCCACATACATGCACACAACCCCACATGCAGCCTCTCACATGCAATAACCCAAATAGCCTCACACATACACACACACTACCAAACACACAATGTGACATATCCATCCACACACACACACACAATTCCACAAGCAGCCCCATACACAGCCCACATTCACAGGCATCATACACGACACCACAAACTACTCAGGAACATATACAATATAATAGCTCACACACACACACACACACAAAAATACAAAACAACTGCAGTATAAATAACAAGCAGAATATGGCAACATACACACCTCGATTTAAAAAAAAAAATAGGACCGGCATGCTACAGGACATCGCAATCTTATTTAGGCACAGTGCTGCTAAAAGGTAGCCTAGCCCTGCTCTAGACCAATATACAGTGCAGCGTGATCACTCATTGAATAGCTGCTCATTATCATTTTACAGCATTGTGTGCTTGAGCAGACTGTTGAATAGATACTCAGTATTGCTATACAGTGCAGCACGTCCATTACATTGAAACCCACATTATCATTTTATATGACAGGATGTTCATTATCAGAATACAGATACTCAGCATCATTATACACAATATATTCATTGTCAGCGTAAAAATAATTGTGTCATTATACAGCGCAGCATGCTCATTATTAATGTATAGATACTCAGCATCATTATACAGCACAGCATGTTCATTATTAATGGATACGCATATTATCAAGCACAGCGTGTACATCATGATACACAGAGCAGCGGCTTCATTACATTGTCAGTGTATGGATAGTCTGTGTTACTTTACAGCATAAAGTTTTATTAGGAGAAACTATTTATTCAGCATGTTGGATGTATTTATTATCAAAACAAAATTACCCAACTGCATGTGGTTTTAGGGAAAGATAGGCACGTCCATAAATTTCACTTTACATCACTATTATTATTATTGGGAGAGTGGCTCATCCATCTATTACTATTTATATGTGTATCTAACCACAAAACACTGTTTCAGTTATATTTGAGTCATAAAACTGTGCATTAACATGACAACTACCTCCACATGAGGCACAGATATGGCATTTCATGCGAAATCGTCCTTTTCCCATAATCCTTTACTTAAATGGAAAGTGCATAGTTCACTTGTATCCGAAACAGTTTTGGTTTTCTCCAGAAAGTGCTCCTTAATAGGGCATTACTTGGGGGAACCAGTGGTAGGCCCATACCACTCTCAATAAGCAAAACATACATCTAATATCAGTTTGATCCAAATACTCTGACACCACATTGCCTTCTGAGGCACAGATAGTACTACAATTATACCAGAGCCGTGAATACATATACAATTGATATGCTAATATGAAATAGCTACCTTAATATGCTACATTTAAAGATCTGCTAATTGTAAACAAACTTTTTTTTCTTTTTAGTCCATTGAGTCTTTGGGTGCACGTTATTGTCAAACAGTTTGGATAAATAGATAAATAATATGAAGATACTAAAGAATAATTGAATAGCAGAATACTAGGTCTTTTATAAGATACATGTGTATTAGGTTGTATCGCTCGTGGGAGAGAAAAAAAAATGTTTTGTAGCCCATAAAAAAAGATTATGGAGTATGAATTGCAGAGTTCCTTCAAAGCATCTTGCGAAGGTAACTCTGCTCTGGGATGTTTCAAAAAAAACAAAAAAAAAAACCTACAGATCATTATCTCACAACAGCCCATATCACAATTCTACTCATGTCTACATGGGTCTAGTAATGTTTGTGCAGCGAATGAAAATGGCCGATGAGAAATGGCACATTGTGGCACTTAAAGCTCCATTTTCCTTAGCACAATGTCTCATAAGTGATAATCTTTGGCTCAAAGTAGTGCCTACATATACTTATTCTTCCCCTCTGATTGCATTGTCAATGACATTCCAACACAGCCTTTAATGGCTTCCAGAAAGATTTTATAACAATGAAATACTCAAACAGGGCGGCATTTAACAATAAAATCCTAGCTGCCTGTCAAGTTGTTAGTTTGCTGAAGGTACAACCCATTTCGCAGTCATACTCTGTAAAGTACATTACTTTACATATTGCTATGAAATGTCCAAAAAGACTATATAGTGCGCCTCAGTAACAGCTCTTATCTTTGAACAAACTGAGAATACAGTAGCAACTTAAAGAGAAAAGCACAATTGTAAGGCATATAAGAGAAGGTGACTGAAGTGGAAATCAACTCAATCGATTGATTATTCTTTGTGTATCTGCCCCCTGACCAAATTAATGAAACAGTGCGTGCACGCTCCCTGAAGTAATTCACACCAGACACAAGTTTCAGGTAGTTGAATAACTTGAGGAATGTTTATTCAGAAAGGACGGCAAGTCCCTTTTAAAGCAAAATTACATCATAAGCATTGTCAGAGATAACATGGAATAATACGGTATCAATTGGTTAGGTGTTAAGTAGTTATCTTAGTGCTCTACCTACTAGAGGTGATGTCACTGAGACCATGAGGGTCTCCCCCAGATCTCAGCGCCATCTTGTTACACGAGGTAGTTAGTCGAGGTTATAAGGAGGGAGGGGTTAGAAACTTCTAGCAGCCATTTTGTCTAAATATGCGTGAATAGCTTATCTACTGATTTCAGTGCAATGGGTAAATAGACATTTTACTAACTACAAAGTTATATGTGTATATGTTCATATTTTATTTCCACAACAGTGACAAGCTCTGAAAAGAACCCCACCATGGTCCAGTTTGTGTTTAAAATAGCTTAGAAGAAATAAATAGATTTAAAAACAAATTTAAAAAAAAATATAGGCATTTGCTTTAGTATAGCACAAGTTCTGCTGCCATTGCAATACTGAATACATGGGATGGTTAAACCTAGTGTTCGGAAAGAATCAAAAAGTTTCAGTAGGATTGATGAGACTTCTCTGGCAATTAATAGTCACACTTGCGATTGTCAGACGCTTTGTTTGTGAAAGATAAAGACATATTTTGTAGCTTTGAGAAACAAACCTCAACAAAGGACATCTCCACCAACCCTCAGGAGAAAGCCAATAAGTATACATTACATTTTCTAACTATGTGACTACAAAGAGAGAGACAAGTTTACTGGTTCTGGTTGTTTACAACAAAAATAAAGATGAAAACCTTAAACAGTGATTCTGAGGATACAGAGCGGCTCACTTTTATTTCAGGGCATTTATATCTACAACCATGCAGGAACAGCAGCGGTTTTATATAAATCAATAATCCTTTTTAGGGAGGCAGTTTTAGAGGAACAAAAGGAAAATCGACAAGTTAACTTGTATTTTTAATGGCATATTTAGTTCTAGTTTGAAAATTCTATGCATCTGATTACTGCTCGATTTCCGTGAGCAGCAGCCATCTCCAGACGCTGTGCACCTTCCATGATATAGTCCTACCAGGCCTGTACCACAGCCATCAGTTCTCAAGTCTTGCAGGACATTATTTCAGTCTTGGATTATTAGTAAATTAAAAACCTCACTAGTTTGACCTATTCACTCATCCCTTCCTTTATCAGAGAGTCTGGGGTCACTATCTTGTGGTAAGGTAGAGGACCATCCGATGAATTTGAAGGTATTGGTTATATCTAAGAATTCAAGATCTGTCTGCCCAATTACAGTGGCTCCATAATGTGCTCTGGATCATGTCCATTGCCCTATTGGCTCATAAGACTGTGTTCTTGATATCTATAGATCCATCGATCCATCAGAGAATCCATCGGTTGTCGACTTGATGACTACAAGTAGTTTGTGTCTTGTGGTAAACCTCTTTGGTTATGGTAGTGTTATACTACCCTTTAACATACCCTAAATTGTATCCAGGAAAGGAAGTTACATTTACTGGATGAGCTCAAAAACCCATTTTGCTTCTTCTGCCACACAACTGATTTATTTTGGTCCTTTGCAGACCACAGCAACCAATGTCAAGTGTAAACCCACACCTAGAATCCCTTTCTACAGTCTTTGTATAATCAGACAGAGAGCAGCCAACTAGCCAATTACACTTAGTCCCCCAAAAACCAAGGCCTTCACACTTTATGGGTAATGGATATAAATACCCTAAAATTAAAGAGTGCAGTCTACACTTTGTCCCTAGAAATCACTTTTATTTCATGTTGAATGCACTACTATGGCATAAAACCAAAATAATAGAATGGTAAATACTGTCCAGATACATATAAACTGCAGTTAAGTAAACATTTAAACAGGACTGTCTTATTATGCTCATCATTTATAGATCACCAACATAGTCTGCAGCACTTTACAATTATAGAACGTGAATATCTTACAAGTAATTGACACAAAGTGAAGAAGGCCATGTTTGAGCAGGGCTTTCTGCACCTCTTGTCATTATTTTGTATGTTACAGAAGCTTACAATCTTCATTTTTATGAAAGGATAGAATTATAGGTTTACTGAATAAATGGTAAATGTTGTTGTATTTGTTATATTTAGACCAAAATAGCCCACCTGGACGAATTCTACAACTATTTTTCAACTTGTTAATTTTGACATAAGTTTCACAATTTGATTGTCACTTCTCCCAAATTTACTGAGTGGTGAATAATCTCCGCGTTGTGATCACTGGCAGGAAGTGAGCAAATTGCAGGTTGTAAAGAAATATTTGGACAGGTTTATGGCATTAAAGTAATCCTTTCATAGCGTAGACACAGTACTTCTCTGATGGGAAAATGTGAATTATAACTAATTGGGTGAAAAGTAAAATTAAATGAATAATGTTTTAAATACATGTAAAAAAATCCAAACATGTTCTCATAGTAAAACACTTTTATACAACGTACGTACAACCTTTGTGACGTGGGTGATTTTCTATTTCTCTCTTTCATTTTTAAAGTGAGATATGTGCAAACATTTCTATATCAATTACTTTGCTGCACCCAAGTACAGATTAAGGAATTTATTCATGAAAGAGTTACTTGTCAATTGGAAAGTGCTGTGTTTCAACTCAATGATAGTCAATTCACCACATGCCAAATATAGCCTGTAAGCCTGTTTGAGCATGGCCTTCTTCCCCTTCTGTTCTCTCTTACACATGAAACATGTTTTGTAAAAATTGTTTGTTTTGTTTACTTATTGTGCAGCACTGCGGAATATGTTGGCGCTATATAAAAATAAATAATTGTAAATCTCCCCAAACACCAGCAAGTTATGGCAAGCAGATATGAGATTTGTAAACAAATAAATAAAAACAGGCTCTAACACTGGATATTTTGGGATACATTTTGCCGGTATGTTGTCAACTTATTAGAATTTAAATAAAGAATTAATAAAAGTCTACATCCCTCTTGCAAACCATAACCAATGATCCCACTTCCCAAAACCTGTCAACTCATATTTTAGCGAATGTATTTCATTACATGATTTTCAGGCGTCAATCTGACTGGATTAAAGTTGGAAACATTTGTGTGTCAACCTGAATCTCAGGTTATGGACAGGTTTAATCATGTCTGAGAATCTGCAAGGACATGCAAAGTATCATTCAATTAAACTGCAGATACAGTGTGTTGAACTTCCCCAATCTTGCCGCCAGTGGACTACTACTCCCACAATTCTCTGCAAATGTCACATCACACAACCGCACACATAAATTGGGAAACTCCATGATCAAATTACCACTTCCTTAATTAAATATAATTAAATAAAAACACAGGACTTTTGGTCTTGTCAGATCCACAATACTGGATAAACTTACTAAAACTACAGTTAAAAATTAACTTTAGACATTCTGTTTATTCCATTATTTTTAAAGGGACACTACAGTCACCCGGACCACTTCAGCTCACTGAAGTGGTCTGGGTGCCAGGCCCCCCAGAGAAACTGCTATGTTTACATTGCAGAGTTAATCCAGCCTCTAGTGGCTGTCTTCCTGACAGCCGCTAGAGGCGCTTCTGCGACGCTGGATGCGAAAAATCGCATTCAGAACGTCCATACCAAAGCATTGAGAAATGCTTTCCTATGGACGGTTTGAATGCGCGTGCGGCTCTTGCCGCACACGCGCATTCCGCTCCACTCGGAAGCTGACATCGGCGGGGGAGGAGAGGTCACCAGCGCCGAAGGGAGGGGGGCCCTGAGGTTGGAGGGGACCTAAGGGTTATATAGTGTCAGGAAAACGAGTGCCAAAGTACCTGTCATACTCCTGACCGTGATAGCTAGCCTTTCATTATTCTCAGTGAGCCATTATAAATTCAACATTCAAAATTTTTAGGCCACATAGCAAAAATAAAATAAATAAAACACAATCTCTGTTCACTTTTGTGTTATGGGCAACTTTGCGACCCTACGATGTCTCAAACAAAGAAATCCCATATTTGTATGAGTTCAGTATACAGATACAGTTCAGAATACATATTTTGCCTGGAAAATTATAATAAAAAGGACTAGAAAAATTAATAACAACAACCACATTCAGCAGCTAACTTTTAGTTTGCAATCAAGTTGTGCTAAAATTTCAAAAGTGACATTTTTCCTTTAAGCAGCCTCCATAGAAACAAATGTGTTGTTCTGCTGATAAGCACTTTGCTCTAGAATTGCTCTGGTTTAACCTTGATCGTCTATTATTCACTATACTGTGCAAAATGTAAAGAGGTTCAACAAGGTAAAATATCAATATATCTGCGATCATGTTGATTACATTAATATGCATGAAGATCTTAAAGCCTGAGGGCAATTTTAAAGGCAACCATCCTAACATAACAGTAATTAATAAAATCGTAAAGACTGAACTATCCTAAGGTGAAGGAAACAGAAAAGAACGTTCCCAACACAGACAATGTAACCAAGGTTGAGTTCCCAACAAAGGCCTATTTACATGACAAAATGGAGTTTAAAGGGCCCCTTATCAGCAGTCAACCACATAAAAATAAACAAATAATACATAAATAAAAAATAAAATATATATAGTATAAAAATATTTAACCTTTATTTAATCTCAACAATTCTGGCATTTTAAACAGACCCACAAATGATTAAAGGGACACTATAGTCACCTGAACAACTTTAGCTTAATGAAGCGGTTTTGGTGTATAGAACATGCCCCTGCAGCCTCACTGCTCAATCGTCTGCCATTTAGGAGTTAAATCCCTTTGTTTATGAACCCTAGTCACACCTCCCTGCATGTGACTTGCACAGCCTTCCATAAACACTTCCTGTAAAGAGAGCCCTATTTAGGCTTTCTTTATTGCAAGTTCTGTTTAATTAAGATTTTCTTATCCCCTGCTATGTTAATAGCTTGCTAGACCCTGCAAGAGCCTCCTGTATGTGATTAAAGTTCAATTTAGAGATTGAGATACAATTATTTAAGGTAAATTACATCTGTTTGAAAGTGAAACCAGTTTTTTTTTCATGCAGGCTCTGTCAATCATAGCCAGGGGAGGTGTGGCTAGGGCTGCATAAACAGAAACAAAGTGATTTAACTCCTAAATGACAGTGAATTGAGCAGTGAAATTGCAGGGGAATAATCTATACACTAAAACTGCTTTATTTAGCTAAAGTAATTTAGGAGACTATAGTGTTCCTTTACTCACTGAAGTAAGAGCTATGGGGAATTCAAAGTGAATTTGGAATCTTAGGACAATACTGTCAATCTGAAAAAATAATTGGCCTCGATTTTTGGCTAGAATTTGAAATTCACTTTGAATTTCTGCCAATTTACATTTTAGTGATTATCCAAGGGCAAAATCTGAAGAAAACACTATGCCAAATATTTGTGAAATAAATAAAAAACTATTTGCTACAGAGGGGCACATAAAAAGAGAATGGTACACCCCCAGAAGCCATTTTGTGTAATAGCCTAATAATTTAATACTGAAGCTTATAATGATTGGTTGAAAGCAAACAGGAGTTCATAGGGGTTATTCAACATGGCCAACTACAACATTTCATTTTTTTAAGGCTTTGCAGTTAATAGATATTATATGGAAAATACCTTCGAAGCTTGGGGTGATTCATAAGAAGAGGATGAGAGAAAAGTAACACGAAGACTAGATTAATTAAAAGGTTATTCATTAACAATATAAACCTACTTTTGTAAGTAAAAATTGTAGTTTTAATAACCGGGTTCTTCAGTAAAGTGAGAATTCAAAGTGAATTTCAAATTTGAGGCCAAACTAGCCAAATTAGAACAATTATTATTATTATTACTGGTATTTACATAGCGCCAGCAAATTCTGTAGCGCTTTACAATAATATCAAAAAGGGGAGGTTTAACAATAAATTAAACAACTACAAAAACCTACAGAGACAATAGGTTGGAGAGGGCCCTGCTCAAATGAGCTTACAGCCTATAGAGGGTGGGGTGTAAAACCCAACAGGACAGGAGGTAGCAATCAAACAAGGTGGAGTGAAGCAGAGCTGGGTGAGAGAGTAGAGTGCTGCCCTTTAGGAGAGAAGCTATGCTTCCAGTTTAGTTACTTTGATTTTAAAGGGATGTTATATTTACCAGAACCACTACAGCTTGATGTAGTGGTTGTGGTGTTTATAGTTTCTCCCTGCAGTCTTTGCACCGTAAACCCTGCCTTATCATAGAAAAGGCAGTGTTTACATTGCTGGCTAGTAACACCTCTAGTTACAGTGATTTAGAAGGCTACTACAGGCGCTTCTTAGTATAGTGCTGAGCGGTGTACAGCCCGGGCGTTCAACATCTCCACGCTCTGCATGGAGGCGCGGAACGTTACCCATAGAGATGCAGTGATTCAAAGAGATGCTGATTGGCACAGCATTTTGCTGCGCGTGTACAATAACCTCCCAATGAGAAAGCTTTGGATTGGCTGAGATCATCAGCCACGGAGATGAAGCCGGCCCTTGCAAGACCGATGTGGCAAGGGAGAAAAGGTGATTAAACAAACTATAATCTCCAGTGGGAGGGAAGCCGGGGGCCTAATGATGCATTCCAGCACAATACACGTTTGTATTCCTGATACGATAGTGTTCTTTTAACCCCTTAAGGACCAAACTTCTGGAATAAAAGGGAATCATGACATGTCACACATGTCATGTGTCCTTAAGGAGTTAAGTACGGAATCCACTCTGAATCAATTCTTACTATAATGCATAACCCTGTAAATGTTATATTTGTCACAAGACAATACTTAATAAATAACATAACACACAGACTAATTACTGTTCCTATGCTCAGTCTGCAAATTTGTCACTTTAATGTTTTGCAACATTTTAACCTCTTATAAAAAAAAAATAAAAATAAATTTCTTCTGTGTCCCTTTCAACTTGCTTTATTAGTCGCGGTCACTGTGTCAATACTGATACCTAAAGTTCAGTTTTTGCCTTTTATAAGCATTTCATGCCAGTTTGTGACCTGCATAATATTAAATAATTAAGATCGGTTTCTTTATGTAGGTTTATACAGTGTAATATCAGGTAAACATACACGAAATGTTTTATAAAAAGGCATCTAAAATAACAGAAATACTAGTTATGACGAGATTTTGAGCAAATTGCTTCAAAACATTCAGTTTCACCTCTGATTGTTCACTGTTTATGAACGCACTTGGTACAGAGCGCCCTAGACCTGACAAAGTTTTCTCTTTGACTTAGTGCCACCAAAGTAGAAAATATATATATATATATATATATATATATATATACACACACACAGAAAATAACCTTCTCTCACTCTGTTCAACAGGGTTATTCACTACAGTAAGGATTCCATGTGAATTTCAAATTAAAGGCCAAAATAGCGGATTAGGAAAAAACTTTTCAAAGTCAGTGATACTTCTAGCTTGACTACTTTGGCCTAAAATTTTAAATTCACTTTGATTTCTCACTTTAGACAATAACACTGCAAGATTCTACTCTGCAAGACAAAACACATGCTTTCCCACAGAGAGTTATGCAATCCCTTTATGTGAATGTTATATTTTTATATTTTGTTTACTTTGAGTGGATAAAAAAAAAAAAAAAGTCTTCTTCCCTAAAAGTAGCAATCGTAATAATCTTTGAATTATCAGAATTGTAAGGGTTCAATAACAAATATAGCATCTTTATGGAGCAGAATTTTAACCCTTGGAGTGCCAGAATGAGCAATGACATTTCTGCTACTGAAATTATACAAAACAAACACAATGGATTCAGTTCAGTTGAGGCCTACAGGCTCCATGCAGCCTCGCTTTTCTATTTCATAGCTATTACAAGTAAAACTCTATTTGTAATAAATAGAGGACAGCAAGTTATCTGCGAGGCTTATTGACGAGGCCTAGAATTTAGATTATTGTCGAGAACACTGAAAAGCTTGGCTTGTAATTTGCAGTTCCATAATAAATGTTCAGCAATTCTCAGTTTAGTCAGTAATCCTTGTTTTATTCTTCTTAGAGGGAATTTAAACAACACTATTCCCTGCTGTATGGTATATACTCATCAGGCCTGTAGGGGAATTTAACCATTTGTTTTCCACAGGATCACATGTACAAGCAATGCCTTTGTATACTGTGTATTAGATTAAATGTATAAAGTATTTTAGCTCTTTAGACATAATGGATATATATAGTATTTTAATGCTACATTAAATGTTTCTCCAGTGGAAATGAACAATTATAAGACACTGATCAAACAATATTATGCAGTTACTAAAACACATTTCTCATACAGGAGATTGTAATTGTCAACATTGTTTTATGAGGTGTAAGAATAAAGTTCCTCTTACAAAAACAGTCCATTTAAATGGGACAGTAGTCTAGAGGAAGGGGAGGATTCACTAAACAGTGATCCAATTTAAAAGCTGCAGGCCAAATAGCGGACTTAGAAAGGTAGAAGGCATTAACTAATTGTTTAGTGAATAAGCCAAACAAATGTTTATTATTTGCATATAAGTAACAGTGATTACAGAACTAGAATGAATTTAAAGGACATACAGATAGAATGACATTAAAACCAAATGATACTTTGTGTAAAGTCCCATATACTGGGCAGGATGGGTGGTTTACAGTGTAAATAAAGGGCATTGTGTCAGGTCATTGTGTGGTGTGAAAGGCTTGCAATTCATGGTAAATCAGCTAATGTGTCTTTAACATGGGCTATAAAAGCCTGGGGTCTGCAGTGGGGTAAATAAAGATAGGGTTTCCTAAACACACAATGCTGTACTCCATGGACTACACACAAGGCAAGGGTGGCCAAAACAGACAGATCTCCACTTATTGAACAACTACAACTCCCACGGTGCTCTGATGGCCTCAAGCCTGGCACAGCATGATGGGAGTTGTAGTTACAATAACTAAAGGGGGGTAGATCTAGGTTTTGGGGCCCCCTGTCACCAGGCCTCACTCACTCTCCCCCTGCACTCACTTTGCTTGAGCCTCGTCCAGGCTCTGGTCTGTGATAGTCATGATCTGTTGCAGTATGTCGCCGATATCCTGCTTCCTGGTGTCCCCATTGTCCGAGGGGGGGTCGTGCATGGGGTGGGGGGTGAGGGTTTGGGGTCCTCCATGGATGGGGTGTCCGGGCATGCCCACCCCCCGGGCCTGGAGAAGCCTCCCTTGCTCATCCATCTGAGTGGCTCTCCCCGGATAAATCGCTGTCTGTCCTCCGATAAGTCGGTTCCTCCTCCTCCCCCCCTCAGCAATGTCTCCTCCTGGAACTCACTCTGCCCTTCATAGAAAGTCGCTCTGTGTGTCTGTCCCCTCCGGCCCCTGCCTGGCTCCCTGTCCGCCTGGCTGGCTGCTTCTATAAGTCGCTCTGCTCCCCCGAGCCCCCTCCTATACCGCGGGTACAGCGCTCTCTCTCTCCCTCGGCTCCTGGAAGTGTCTGGCTCCCGGGATAAATCGCTCTCACACCGCGTGTCCGGCTTAGTATTATTAATAATATCAGTATTATTATTAATTATTATTATTATGGATTCTTCGGGGGAATTGGATCCAGCTCCAGCGATAGAGACTGAGGGGAGAGAGGAGTAAAATGGTGAATAGCTGGAGAGAGAGGGAGAAGGGGGGAGAGAGAGAGAGAGGGAGGGAGGGAGGAGGAGGGAAGGAGGGGGAGGAATGTGGCCGGGCAGCCTCTCCCCTTGGAGGGGATTCTCAGCTCTCTACTGCCCCCTCTCTCTTACAATCATCCCTAGCTCTCTCCTTCCCTGACTGTCACACACAGCCTGTCTCTCACTCTCCCACCTTCCCTGACTGTCACACACAGCCTGTCTCTCACTCTCCCTCCTTCCCTGACTGTCACACACAGCCTGTCTCTCACTCTCCCTCCTTCCCTGACTGTCACACACAGCCTGTCTCTCACTCTCATTCCCTGACTATCACACACAGCTTGTCTGTCACTCTCCTTCCCTGAATGTCACATAGAGTCTGTCTCTTACTCTCCTTCCCTGACTGTCACATACAGTCTGTCTCTTACTCTCCTTCCCTGACTGTCACATACAGTCTGTCTCTTACTCTCCTTCCCTGACTGTCACATACAGGCTTCCTATCTCCCTCCTTCTCTCATTTACATCCCTGTCTTTCTCATACTCTAATTCCATATCTTTCTCTCTTCTGTACATGTCCCTTCCCTGTCTTTCTCTTTCTCTCACACTCTCTCTCCTTTCTTGTTTCTCACACTTTCTCTTTCTCACCTTTCCTGTCTCTCGAACTCTCTCTTTCTCTCCTTTCCTGACTCTCTGTCTCTCTTTCTCTCCTTACTTGTCTATCAGTCTCTCTTTCTCTCCTTTCCCATTTCTCACACTTTCTCTTTCTCTCCATTCCTGTCTCTCAAACTCTCTCTTTCTCTCCTTTCCTGACTGTCATTCTCTCTTTCTCTCCTTTCTTGTCTCTGTCTCTCTTTCTCTCCTTTCTTGTCTCTCAGTCTCCCTTTCTCTCCTTTCCTGACTCTCAGTCTCTTCTCTCCTTACCTTTCTCTTGAACTCTCTTTCTCTTCTTTCCAGTCTCTCTTTCACTCATTTCCTTGTCTCTCAGTCTCTATATCTCTCATTTCTTGTCTCTCTTTCTCTCCTTTCCTGTCTTTCACACTCTCTCTTTCTCTCCTTTCCTGACTCTCTGTCTCTTTCTCTCCTTTCCTTTCTCTCACACACTCTTTCTCTCATTTCCTGTCTCTGCACGCACTCTCTTTCTCTCATTTCCTGTCTCTGCACGCTCTCTCTTTCTCTCCTTTCCTGTCTCTGCACGCTCTCTGTCTTTTCTCCATTCATTCACTCTTCATTCAGCTGCCAATGTAACTTCCTTTTTATCTTCTTTTTGTTTAGTGAATAATGCACACTGTTCACTTCAGATATAATTGGCCACCTTCTTTCATTCTTTGTAAAGTTTATTTACTAAAGAAAGAAGCTGAAGTAGCATTTTAAGAAGTTAAAATCAAGAAGTTCTGAGGTTTTTGTTTTTTCTCAATGTGGGTGAAATTCATACATTCTCTAGCATCCAAACTGGAGAAATTGAACTGAAATTTAAAGGAGATGAGCTAAATGAGCCAATAGTTGGAAGAACCTCTGACTATTAGTTGCAGCTACAGCCGTGAGTCTTCTGATTTCACAATTTTCAAGCTCTGTCAGGTTGGATGGGGAAAGTTAGTGAACGGCAATTTTCAAGTCACAGATTCTGAATCGGATTGAGGATTGGGCCATTCTGAGACATTTCGCGGGATATTTATCAGTGTCCTGAAAAGTCGCTCTTCCACCATTATTTTGATTGTATTTAGTAAAGTGAGCTAAAAAGAACCGTTTTTCTTCCAAGTAAATTCTGACAGAAGGTCATTGATAGTGCAGGACACATTCTGCTATTTTTCTGTTAGAAGAAAATGTCAAGGAACTCAAACCTGTTGTGTTGGTTAAAAAATTGTCAAAAATAAAAATATTACAGTTAAGGCTCAAAAAAAAAAGGAACAGATGAAAATATTTATAAATTGCACCAAATATTAGACGGAAAAGTATCGGTGACACGTTGATTACATTTTCAGGTGATGGAATGAATTTCCACAACATGATACTACCGCTAGGCTTCACCGAGGGAATGATGACACACCATTTAGGATTTTAATTTTGTTTGTCTGTAATGTTTTACATCTATGGCAGATTTCTCTTGAGTAATCTGTGGATCACTCCAGTTACCATTGACCTCTGGGTTGATTCTCTAACTAAGGATTACTCTAAGCATCATAATCACTCTAGCCCGCTGTAGTTGTTATGACGCCAGGATTACCCTGGTCCATTCCCCACTAATGGGGCAAAGTGTTTAGTAACGGTTTGCCCCCTGACCTGATAACTCTACAGGTGATACTCAAAAAATTAGAATATCGTGCAAAAGTTCATTTATTTCAGTAATGCAACGTAAAAGGGGAAACTAATATATGAGATAGACGCATTACATGCAAAGCAAGATAGTTCAAGCCGTGATTTGTCATAAGTGCGATGATTATGGCTTACAGCTCATGAAAACCCCAAATCCACAATCTCAGTAAATTAGAATATTGTGAAAAGGTGCAATATTCTAGGCTCACAGTGTCCCATTCTAATCAGCTAAGTAAGCCATAACACCTGCAAAGGGTTTCTGAGCCTTTAAATGGTCTCTCAGTCAGGTTCAGTAGGAATCACAATCATGGGGAAGACTGCTGACCTGACAGTTGTGCAGAAAACCATCATTGACACCCTCCATGACAACCATCATTGATACCCTCCATAAGGAGGGAAAGCCTCAAAAGGTAATTTGCGAAGGAAGTGCTGTATCAAAGCACATTAATAGAAAGTTATGTGGAAGGGAAAAGTGTGGAAGTAAAAGGTGCACAAGCAGATGGGATGACCGCAGCCTGGAGAGGATTGTCAGGAAAAGGCCATTCAAATGTGTTGGGGACTTTCACAAGGAGTGGACTGAGGCTGGAGTCAGTGCATCAAGAGCCACCACACACAGACGGATCCTGGACATGGGCTTCAGATGTCGTATTCCTCTTGTCAAGCCGCTCCTGAACAACAAACAACGTCAGAAGCGTCTTACCTGGGCTAAAGAAAAACAGACCTGGTCTGTTGCTCAGTGGTCCAAAGTCCTCTTTTCTGATGAGAGCAACATTTTCATCTCATTTGGAAACCAAAGACCCAGAGTCTGGAGGAAGAATGTAGAGGCACACACTGCAAGATGCTTGAAGTCCAGTGTGAAGTTTCCACAGTGTGCGTTGATTTGGGGAGCCATGTCATCTGCTGGTGTTGGTCCACTGTGCTTCATTAAGTCCAGGGTCAACGCAGCCGTCTACCAGAAGATTTTGGAGCACTTCATGCTTCCTTCCACAACCGAGCTTTATGGGGATGCTGACTTCATTTTCCAGCAGGACTTGGCACCTGTGCACACTGCCAAAAGCACCAAAGTCTGGTTCAATGACCGTTGGATTACTGTGCTTGATTGGCCTGCAAACTTGCCTGACCTGAACCCCATAGAGAATCTATGGGGTATTGCCAAGAGAAAGATGAGAGACATGAGACCGAACAATGCAGAAGAGCTGAAGGCCGCTATTGAAGCATCCTGGTCTTCCATAACACCTCAGCAGTGCCACAGGCTGATAGCTTCCATGCCACGCCACATTGAGGCAGTAATTGCTGCAAAAGGGGCCCAAGCCAAGTACTGAGTCCATATGCATGCTTATACTTTTCAAAGGTCCGAAATTGTTCTATGTACACTCCTTGTTTTATTGATTGCATGTAATATTCTAATGTACTGAGATTGTGGATTTGGGGTTTTCATGAGCTGTAAGCCATAATCATCGCACTTATGACAAATCACGGCTAGAACTATCTTGCTTTGCATGTAATGCTTCTATCTCATATATTAGTTTCCCCTTTTACGTTGCATTACTGAAATAAATGAACTTTTGCACGATATTCTAATTTTTCAAGTATCACCTGTAGTTCCAGGCTAGCTGATGATACCCCATGACGCTGGAATTACTACTATGTCAGCCAAGGGGTTAAACTTGGCATCGGTTTTGTTTTTTTATAACTCATCTCTGTTTGTACAATTTTTCTTCTTCCCTTTTCTTTACCAGATTTTTATATCTTCCTGGTCTTTATGGTCCGGTTTGTTTGTATATGCTATCTAACAAACCCCAAGGCTTTATAGAAACAGGTGTATTTATTTAAAAATCACGTGACACTAACTGCATGCAGGTGTACCCTATTTCACTAATTATGTGATTTAAAAAAAAAAAACACTTTATTTTGGTTATGGCAGTTGATCTAGTAAGATCTTATTTAGAGGTTTCATAGCAATGGGGGTGTACATGCATCCAACAAATGTATGACTTTTTTTGTTTTTTAGTTAAAGCATGTGCTGCTACAATGGTAGATAGATAGATATTATTCTCAATATATGCTGTAAGTGGAGGTTCTGTGCCCTGCAATTTTGTTTTATTCCCACACCCCATTGAGGAGTGTGGTTATTGCTGTGGAGTGAGTGTTCTTGTCTGAGTTTACCCACCCCAAGTAAAGTGCCAGGAGGTACCGTGGCAAAAAAATGGAACTATGCGAGTGGCTAGAACAGTCCAGGTAATTAGCTTGTTTCTCCTGCTCTTTTTTCTCATTTTCCTTATATGAATGTATTCCACATCGGGTCTAGTTTTAAAATCTTCCTCCCCCTATGAATGTATCCCCCTCTGGGCCCTGTCTCCTTCTCCCGGACTGGAAGTGTTTCCTCCCTATCTGTCCTGCATCATTACCCTCATTTGAATTTGTTTTCCCCATCTGTCCACAATTATTCTCCTTATCTGAATTCTCCCTTGCTCTGTCTCAGCTTCTCTAGCAGAATCCCCCATCCTTCCTTATTCTCCCTATCTGAATTTAATTACCTTTTCCATCCTCTGCCCACTACATAGTCTACTATACTCCTTTTATCTCTGGTTCACTTACCATGAGGTCACCTCGTGGGGTTTATTTTCAATTAAGAAATATGGATAATTTAAAAGGTAATTGCAAATTTTAGACCATAATAGCTATGCTGGGGTAATAGTGAAATTGAAGAATTTTTCCATATTGTCTATATTTTCCTATAAATCCTATAACTGGCCTCCTTCTCAAATTTGAATAAACCCTCAGAAGACGTATACATACATAAACAAACGACGTCCATGTAATATACATGTAATATGAAAAATAGAGACATGTAAGATACAAGAAACATTGTACAAAGGACAATGATCCCCTTCAAAGTAGGCACCTTGGGACCTCACACAGTTTTCCCAGTGTCTCTTCCACTGTTCAAAACACTCTTGCGAAATCCTTTGTTGGAATCGCCATCAGCTGCCTCAACGTATTTACCTGAATCTCATCGATGGTCTGAAATCTCTTCCCTTTCAAAGGTAATTTTAGTTTTGGGAAAAGCCAGAAGTCGCAGGGTGCCAAATCTGGGCTGTAGGTGGGTTGTGTCACATAGGTGATTTTATTTGCATCGTCCCAAAAAGCCTTTTGAATCATCCAAATAGTTTCCGTGGAGGAATGTTCAAGCTTAAGGCAAAATTTTATGCAGATTCGTTCCTCTACTCGCTCAGTCATTTTGAATGCAAAAGCCACACAGTACACACGCTCACTCGTTAGCGCCACTACTGACTAGTACAGCGAAGTAGTCATTGTTCACGCATGCGCGTTCCAGTCCAATCTCCTTGGCTGCCAGTTTACATCAATGTCGAGCAAACCGTTCTTGTTTTATTAACAATTCCTGGATTCTCTGAACAAGGCCCATCTACCTATCTTTTTAATAAAAAAGGCAAGCACTAGCATTAATCCATGATACATTAACTGTATATGTTTTTGGAAAACAAATTATATATTGGATGACGAGAATGAATAGAAAGATATTAGAATGTTGATGCATGTTTTGAAATTGGGTAGGAATATTTTCTTCTTGCAACCAACTAAATACAATTTTTAAAATACAAA